CCATTTCTCCTCCTCCATTGCCCTTTTTGTTGGCTGTTCTCCTAAGCAAAACTTTTCAGCACGGGAGGGCACAACCGCACCTTGATAACGCTCGTGATGAAATTTGTCCAACTCGGCTTTTGTTTGAATTATATCTTCCAAACCTTGCCCAGGACTTTGGCATTCTAGTTCTACCAGAACACGCAAATTACGTAGCAATGATTCTTCTGTCTCAGCCTTCTGAAATTTAATATTACCTCTCTCAATCGCTAGCTCTTTTAGTTCTTGTTTAAGGAGCTCCCATTTAACAAATATTTGTTCGGTTGTTTCTCCTATTTGCTTGATTAGATCTTTCGTACTAGCTACAAAGACTTCATTTTTTAATAATTGCACATTTAGTTTCCATAGGTTCCAATTTATACTCTTTTTTCTTCGTTTCTTCCCAACAGTTACTAATACCATGCACTGGTCTGTGAAAAATACTGGTTCCACCACATAACCATTTAAAATGTTAATTATGTCTACAGAACAGTAGATTCTGTCTAACTTCGCGCGAGAGGAGTTTTGAAAATGTGTAAATTGCAGGTGGTTTTCTTGCAGCTGGAAAGGAAAACATCAAAAAGATTTCCTTCGTCAACTATGTCCAGCAGTAGACGTGCGCTTTTGTCAATTCGCCGTTTAAATGGAGTTCTATCTGCTTCGTCGCAAACACAATTAAAATCCCCTAAAAGAACTAACATTCTATCAGAAATTACATATGGGAGCAGGTTACTAAAAAACACAATTCTGGTATTAACCTCATTCGGAGCGTAAATACATATAACTCTCCGCCTTATGTAAGAAACCTGAAAGTCGCACATAATGAAGCGGCCACAGAGGTCTGTGGTGACCATTAATTTAGACAGTTGGAAAGACTTCTTAATAAACAGTAAACAGCCCCCAGATTGACCAGCAGCGTGACTGACACATACTTCATAGTCACGCAGAAAACGCTGCAGGGCACGCTCTACCTGATCATCTGTTGAGAGCTTTGTTTCCTGTACGGCCAGAAAGTCAACCTCCTTATCTTCAAGCAGGCGTTACAGTTGATATTTTTTTTTTCTAGAATTAAAGCCTCTGACATTTAGTCTTGCAAAACGAGGGCCATCAACTAGAAGGGAAGGAGGAGAGAAAGAAGGAAGGAGAGATGGAGAAGGAGGGGAGGGAGAGAGGAGGGGCTATGGATTTGGGTTTAAACACTAGCAGCTTGGGTGCAAGGCAGGTTTCGGCTTACTCGCGGCGGTGGTGTCAAGTGGTGCATCTTGTTTTCGTTTGGTGCCGTTAGTGTCCTTGGAACTGTTTCTAGTCACGTCCATTGAGTCCGGTTGGTCGTCATTGCCTTCTGACGTCGTCGGCTTTTCAGCAAGATCTGCAGGCTGCTGAGTTAACTTCCGTGGTCGCGGGGTGTTTTTGTCCTTGCTTTCCTGTGAGCCTTTTTCTTCATTTTCTGTCTCCGAGCTGGTTTGTGGTGTTTCCGAGACTTCCTTGACAGCTGGATCTTCGTTCTTATCGGAGATAGGAGGTCCGGCCTCTGCAGACCCGGCTTGAGTTGGGAGACCCTCTCCAGTGGCGTCTACGACTTCGGAGATATCCATTAACTCTTGGTTGGCATCTGGTTCTGTGCCAGAGCCCTGTAGCACGGCCGTATAGCTGGAGTAGCACTCGTCACTTTCGTGCCCGAATCTCTTGCAACGCGCATACGTTGGGATGCGACACTGCCTGCGTATGTGACCAACCTCCTTGCATCTCAGACACAAGGGTGGTCGCCCGGACATGACCAGAAGGGACTGTATACCGGCAACTCTGAGCAGATGGGGAATATCTTCCGATGTCGCCATGTCATGAGGAGTCAGACAGACCTCTCTGTTCAGCGTTTTCATGTTTTCCATCCCTGGCACGCACCACTTTTCTCTCGAGACGCTACGCACGGTTTCTCTCTCTCTTTCTCTCTCTCACTATGGTTTCAAGCGGCGCCGGAAGATGACTCGTCGACCTGTGGGCACGGCAAAGACGGCTCGTGCCGCCTCATGCTCCACACGCGCAGAGCTCCAGCGAGGTTGTCGCTTGTGCAGAGAGACCACGGTGTACCGGGGCGTCATGGCAACGAGATAATTTTTTTCGCTCGCACACAGTTTCGCCGTTTGGCCGTCGGCGACCCTGTCAGCCGCGGGCACGGTGGCCGAGCAATAATGCAGCCTTTCGGATGCCTGTCGAACGAATACTATCTGATGTCTCGCGCCGCGCGTTCAGCCCCGCCGTGTCCTCAGCTAAAGAGTGTATCTTACACCGTGGCCCCCATCAACATCACTCACCACGTGGAGATGCTGTCATTTTTTTACAGAGCAGTCTGAATTCGTCGTCATCTAGAGTAGCGGCCATCATGCTTTATGAGAGTCAAACTGCGCTGCTACTTGCACTCTTTCAATGTGGAGCATCGTCTACGTGACGCAGCCACTGGGACAGCTGATCGCTTTGTGCGACATGCCAAGCAACGCAAAAACTAGCTTGCTCAAGCAGTCATGAGCTGCGGTTCTCCCGGTGTCCTTGTCGCATTAGTCGTAATCGTTGTTGTCGTCGTTTTTGTTGCTGCGAATGCGGTCGACAGAAACGTCTGAATCGGCCCTAAATGTAAGTATAGCGCGTACGTTTTACAAGAAGGTAATAAATAAATTTGAAAATTTTATAATTTTCTTAAATATCTAAATTAGTTTCCTCAAACGAATTCAACGGTTCCAACTATGTGCTTCGCAAGTGCGGAAAATCGCATATGTTCTGAATCAATATGAAAGAGAACGCGAAATTTCGCATCTGTGTTCATCGCTTCACCGATTTAGCAGAAGAGAATCGCAACATGGGAACCAGGCTTTATACACAGCTTGCACGGAACGTCATTTGCGGCCATGTCGGTACTTACGTGCCACAAGCAATCGATTCACCGTGCTAGTTTCGCACTGCATAAATGGTAGTTCGAAAAACATGTAGGTAAAAACCGTAAGTACCCGGCAGTGGTGACTTTTACAAGCTATGTATGGGCCATAGGTGAGTCCACGGCTTCTAAGTGCGTCTGGTGGCAAGCTTCCACAGTTATTTTTACACGTGCTTTCCTCACCATCAAAATTGCCGGTCTTCCAGCCTATAAATGTAAGCTCTTTCTGAGCATCTGTTGTGAACTGTGTGCTCAAATATGGCATTCAGAGCATAGAAACCAATCTTATGGGCCAGTTTGGCGACGCCACCATTACCCCAATGCATCGAGTGCACTTCAGTCTTTGTGCCACCGTGATTTCTGCGCCGAAAACCTCGGTAACAATCTGCACTTGATGAGCGCGAGGTGGCACAAGCCGTCTCGAGCACTCCCGTCATTGACTTCATAAGTGTGACTTCATCGGTCCAGACAAACCGTTGCTAGGGTCGTTGCTATGGACAAATACATGTGGCTAGGTTTCGCTGTGAAAGCCAGACCGTTCAAAAATCAGTAGTAGAATTTAAACTCCTAAAAATCATAGATATAGAAAGCTTGAATGTCGTATTTGTTTCGACAGCAGTGTGCCGGTAATAGCTTCTTTCTGTACATAGAGTTATTATAATGTACGCTAGAGGTTCAACTGGCGCTAGTGTCTATGCGACTTCCGTGACGCAAATTGAAGCAGACAGCAACCAGTCTACTTTTGCGGTGCTCCTGTGCATTCCTATGGGAAAACGCGCATGCGTTTTTCCTCTTCGCCGGAAAATAACACGGAACACTTTGGTTATTTGGGTCGTACCGAGTAGTATGTACCTTGATTAACACTGTGAAAGTGTAATCGCTTTAGTTAGGGCATTTTTCTTCATCAGTGAACGATGTTAAACTTCGCTAGATTTTAGTCCATAACGTGTGTTCCGCAGCAGGTGTGTAAAAACAAGCGATTCAAAGCAAAATTACAATCGAAACGAATATAGAGTGGGTTCAAGGCTCGCCAGCATTCCGGTGACGATTGTATCTTGATAATATGCCAGTCCTGTCACTATATGAAAATGATCCCGTCGTGCATGGGGGGTTAAAATCTTCAAAACGTAGATAATAAAGTCCGTGGGCTATGAAAGGTGTCTCTTCGTATTGTTTTCTCTGCCAGGCAGCTTTTATCGCGCACTTGTTCTCAAAGATATCGAGCGCGCGGGTGATATTTTGAACGTAGAACAAGCAGCTTCGCTCAGGGCAGAAAGAATAAAGCGGTACTTACTTATTTAAAATCGGAATAGATTACGTGGCCTTCAATTTATTTTGTTCGTACATGCACTGCGAGTTACTGATCCGGTGTTACTGCGCATTTCTTGCCGCCGCTCTTGATTTTCCAGATGACCTTCGTTCGTTTGGCATGTATATCCCCCATGCTGGAAATCGCCGACGCCGCGTTCGCGCTAACAGTGTCCGACAGTGCACATAAATTCACGTGCGAAGCCGTTTTAGCACCGTTTTTAATGCGATGAATTCGAAAGAAAAACGCCGTAACTGACCAATTCTTTCGTTGGCCTGACTAAGAAATGTTCCAAACTACCTAGTACGCACGAATTATTTGGAATATTTGCTCTTATGATCGAGCGTAGGGAGAAAATGCACTCACTTTTTCCCATAGAAATGCATTACCGGAAGTCAATTTTCGACTGGTTGCTGTCTGCTTCAATTTGCATCAGCACACTAGCGCGACTTGAACCTCTAGCGTGCATTATAATAACTCTATGTTTCTGTATGCCTGCAACTTCCGGTCCTCAAGATTCTTGCAGCAGACGACGAATGCAAGTAATAATAATAATAATAATAATAATCTTTATTTGCAAGAGCAATGTAACCCCGGGTGGCTTGCGAGGCGATGACAGAAAGGCGGGAGCCCGTACACTAGAGTGCCTGTCAGCCAACCACCCGGGGCATGAAATAACAAAACAAACGACAATAACAGAGAACGAATAAAAACAAAATGAATCCGAACAATGATCATGGCTAAGAATCAGTTTAGGTGCTTTGACCGCGAAAATGCACGGCGCAAGGCAGCGGACTCGTCACGGTTGTTGGGGAGTGGAGATCGAATCGACAGGGGGGCCGCAAGAAAGTCTCTGAGGGCGGCGGGGAGTACGGAGTGCGAGTGGCGCACTGTTCGGGCGTGCAGGAGTTCTGGCTGCCCGGATCGCTTCCCGATCCTGATGCATGAGTGGAGGTGGGTATCACTCATGGACCCGTCGAGCAACCTACAAAGGAGCCCAACCCGAGCCACTGTCCGGCGGTGGCAGAGGCTTTGCCACCCAAGGGCCCTAAGGCGAGCTTCATATGGCGGCACAGGAACTTGCCGGCCCAACATCCGAGTATGAAGTGTTCGAGTAGCCCGGCGCTGCACGCCCTCCAGCCTGTCGATGAGGTGAGCCTGGAAGGGTCCCCACACGGAGCAGCAGTATTCCAGACGAGGCAGGACTAAGGCAGTGTAGAGAGCGCGGAAAGTTTCATGTCCCCAGTTCCTTGAGACACGTGTGACAAAGCCAAGAGTCCGCCGGGCCCTGGACACAGTGTCTGCAATCTGAGGTGAGAAGTCCAGAGTTGAACTGAACACAACCCCAAGGATTGGGAGAGACTGAGCACTAGGAATGGGAGAGCCTGACAAGTAGTATGCAGGAGGAACGGTGGAACGGCTGTTGGAGACTCGCATTGCAGCACTTTTGTGGAAGCTAATTGAGAGGCAGTTCGTTCTTGCCCAGCAGTCAATCTGGTCCAGGAGACTCTGGACACCCGGCGTGGAGGAGGGTACGTCTGCTGGGGCCAGAATGGTGGTGTCGTCTGCATATTGCACCAGCAGACACTCTTGCGATGAAGGCATGTCGTTCACATACAAGAGGAATAATGTGGGCCCCAGTACTGAGCCTTGGGGTACCCCTGAGGTGACAGCGAACTCATCGGAGGCCTTCCCATGGAACAATACACGGTGGGAGCGACCGATAAGAAAGCGGCTCAGCCAGAGCAGCAGGGGGCCACGAATACCGGATTGTGCAATTTTCTGGAGGAGGATAGAGTGGTCGAGGGAATCAAAGGCGTTGCACAGGTCTAGTTGAATGATATCAGTTGGGGAACGGTTATCCAGGTTATTGCTTATGTGGTGAACAATAGTAGCGAGAGCTGACTCACAGCTTCGGTTGGGCCTAAAACCATGCTGGGAGGCAGAAAGAAGGCCGTTGTTGTCCAGAAAGCGAAGAAGGTGCTGGTTGATGGTGCGTTCGAAAGTGCGGCAGAGGATAGAAGTAATAGAGATGGGCCTGTAGCTGGAAGGGTCGTTGAGAGGTTTCCCTTTACCCTTGTGAACTGGTGTCACAAGGGCCTTCTTCCACGCGGAGGGCACGTAGGAGTGGTCGAGAAAGGATTGGAAAAGTGAGAGCAAGGAGAAAGATAGGTAAGGGAATAGGGACTTGATGAAAGTAGGGGCGAGCAGGTCAGGCCCAGCACAGTGGAAGGGCCGGATCAGTCGGGCAGCTTCATGCAGGTCGTCGAGGGACAAGCCGTCTGCCACACACCCGCCGGCCAAGCCGGAGCAGGCGTCTGAATCGTGTGATTAAAGATGATATTATGATATTGTATTTGTTTGAAATATAATGAATTTCAGAATTTTATAAGAATTCATAGTGGGGCGCGAAACAAAGTGTGGTTTATCGAAAGTTCGGGCGTCGATCGAGATGATCGTTCGCTAAAAGTGCATTACACCCGTGAGAAAAGCACTTCAGGCGATCGGTTGAGATCCCAAATTTTGTTTGCGGACTCGCGCTATGGGAGGGTGCTTTATACCTGGTTGTAACCATCGCGTGGAGAAAGATTCTTGCCTATTCTCGAAATTTCCGCAAGACCCCAGAGCGCGAAAGAACTGGATAAAAACGCACACACACACACACATAAAATGAGTTTATTACAGATTGTACTCGCTTCGCGGGTTCGATAGATATCTTCACTAAAAGAGCACATTCACGGAATTTCATGTATACTAAGAGGGAAAAAAGCAAAATAGAGCGAAATCGCGATATACTTTAATTCTTTAATAACCCGACAACCTCGAGAATAATAATAATAACAAACGAGTTCGACGACGGCGCACGATTTGTTTCTCGTGCTGGCCAGCACTACGCCGGTAATGCACTTGAGGTCGTCGTCGTAACTGATCTGCATGGCGTGGTTTGATTTTACGGTATTTTCACCCGTCTGAACTAAGCTGGGTTCTTCACAGAAAACGAACGCACATGGCGGAGGCCTCTACGGCCATGGCAATGCACTTGTTTTCGTTGCTCGTTTACCAACGCAATTCAATGAAGACGCCCGCTGCAACAGAGGCCAGCAAATTTATCGTGTCGTTTCCTACCTAAGAAAGGCAGAGTGTAATACTTCAAAAATAGCCTTATCGTTGCAATACAACACTGAGACGACAAGAACATCTTCATAATTAGTTATCAAGACGTTACGTCGCTTGCAAAAAATTATTTACTTACTTGTAAACAAAAATCCAGCCTCATGTGGAGTCTCCAAGCATTAATCCATAGCAACGTCCCTCGCAACGGTTTGTTTGGCCCCAGACGCCATGTTGTGACGTAGTCACGTACGGCGTCGATTGTGCCCTTAAAGCCCCTCTATCCTGAAAAAGTGGCGCCATTCATTGTTATGGAAATGCTTGAGAAGCGTGCCGTGCGGCACGTCTGAAAAAAAGATGGAGTGCAAAATCTAGCTTAATGATGTAACAGTGCTCTGCTGTGCCGCCATGATCTTCCCAAGAGCTGCTCGTTGCACATGCCTCTTGCATCGGCGGACCTTGCGCTACTTTCAAAACACAAATGGGCTTTAGGTGGTTTCTCCCTGGCGCGCGCCCATCACGAGACGAAAGCGCGAAACTTTTTCAGATCGCAGAGCCTGATATTTTTGTCGCGGGATGGGCGTGCCGTGGAGGAATCCCCGGCATCTCTCCCGCGTGTGAATTCCCCTAAATATTTCCTCCGTCCCGCCTTTGTGCTGCGAGCTAAAGTTAGGGAAACGTCATGCATGTGCCGAACGCCTGACGAGATTCTTCTTCTCAACCGGCGCTCCCTAGCCGTGTGCGCCACTAACTAGAGAAACCAACAGCACCAACAAAATATAGAAATTTTCAAAGCGCTGACAGTAGAACGTCACCAGCTCGAATTGAGGCAGACGACGATCTCAGAGAAGTCCCAAAACAGCTTTATCTGAAAATATTTTGGCTCACAATTTCACACGCGGATATCAAACAGGCGTGGAAAATTCGGGGAAACATCAGTGAATTATTGGAAAATTCAACCAGCGTTTGAACTGCTTTATCCCACCTTTTTGCCTTCGCGTGTGCAGCTCGTGCCATCGGGAGCACGGTAAACGGCGGGGTCCTCTGTAAGTTTTCTTGTTCTCGCAAATTGAACCTCGCAGACCAGGTCAGATTTCCACTTATGATGACCATCCTTAAAGTACGCAATATTAAAAAAGAAAACAAAAAACAGTAACGTCGCTAATACCCAAAGCAAGGTAAGACCAGTGAGTGCCTACAAGTATCAATGTTCTAGATTCGAGATATAAGTAAGGTCCCGTGTGATCGGCAAAAACCGATCGACTTAAAAAGACACCACCGAACCTGTTTATTCAAAACCGCTAAAAAGAAAGAGAAAAATACTCGATTTGAAGTTGTACACATAAAAGTTAAGCTTAATTTGAAGGATTGATATTGTCACGGGTGGTAACCAAAAGAACAACAAATAAAGAGGAAAAAATAAACGTTTAATATGGCGAACTTGTGCCAAAAATAAAAGGTACAAAGGATACTAACAGAGCGTCGCGGGCATCGTAGTCGGCGTAACAGCAGAGTCGAACGCTGAAGCGAGACTGACTCCGGTTCGCCACGCGGACCCTTATGTACATGGGTAAGCTTCTGGAATAATGAGCGTAGAATGTTCGACGCGTAGAACATGCGGACCTCGAACACGCCCAACAGGATTCTCGAATTTACCAGAAAACTATATTGCAGGAATAACAAAAGATGCTTCGCTTCCAGCGATCGAACCCTAGCCTTTCGCGTGGGAGGCAGGCACGATAACCGTTAGGCCACGCGCGCGCTGCCTCCGTGGTCAGCCGCGCGCGCGGCATTAATACCTTTAGCCAGAGCTTTGTTGTGTCTTGATACAAAGCGCAGACCGAACTGAGCTGTCCGCAAGGATATTCATTTCTTATGGAACCACACAATTGAAGTTGTTTCCCTCAAGTATAGGCACTAGGAGGATTTTTGAATGTTTGGATCACGCGCATGTTTGGCGGAGGGTGGGGACTCCTACATTAATGTCTTGGTTCCTTCAACGTAAGCCCTGATAAACCACAATTTATATTTTTAAACTGAAAGTTTATCATCTAAAAACAAAGCATATGTGAGAAAAAAATAATCCATGTGGGCTCCCAGCTCGTCGCCGCCCGTCAAGCGCCGCATAAGACGGCAGCGCGCGCCATAGGGTTGGGGTCGTCGCCCCAAACACGGCTACAAGAGAAGTGAGCATTGGCAGCCCTGGCACTTCGTCAGCTGGTGCCCAACTGCGAGACGTTAATAGTTCTATAATAAACATCTATGGGGCACACCCAACTTGTTTATTGTATTTACGTGAATGGTTGATATTTTTAGATGTTTGATATGTCTTTTGAAGTTTTCTAAGGGCCTGGCCTACCCTTCAAGAACTCCTAAAGGACGTACGTGACGCGTAATAGCTTTTAGAGGCGTGTGAGCCATCTCCCATTCTTTTCCGTTAAAGCACGGCATCTATTAAAATTGTTTTATCGGGTCTTTGGGAGAAATCACGTGACCCTTCAGTATATATGCGTCAGGGAAGTCGCTTGACCACTTTTTATGGGGCGGCCGCTACGAGCGGAAACTCAGTGTCGGCTTCCAGCCTTATGTAAAGGCCTTCCATCTAGAGCAGGTGAGTGTGTGGATCAAGGAGGTGTCTGTGTCCTTCTTTGGGCCTCTTCGTCCGCTCGGCTTTAGAAATTTATCCAGCGAGCAAAAAGACGGCGGAGACGCCAGCACGATGGCACCGGAGACGATATCTTGACCGTGCTAAAGACTTCTCAAAGTCGGCAGACGTAGGCTGTATGTTAGTGGTTTTCACTAAACGTGCTACCGAGAGCTTGGGCGTGTGCGCGCGGTGCAGCTGATTGAATGTATGCGTTGCGCTACCGTGCATATTAGGAATTTACGCAGCGGCATTGTGAGTACCACAAAGTATCTTTTTTGTGACAAGAAACTCAGTAGTCCTTATCATGTTTGACAGTTTTTGTTTACAGCTGCATGCGGCCGGGTTTGAGTTCATGTTGGCTCTCATCACCTTCTTGAGTTACTATATGCATTGTGAGACTCAATATTTGAATTAGTCTTCCAATAACGTTTTGAACTGTCTTTGACCTATGGTTCACAAACATTTGGCCGTCTAAAGGGTTAAAGGGCTGAGAGGGTCTGAGAGGCTGCAGGGTTTGAAGGACTGAAAGGATTTCAAGGGCTAAAGGGGTTTGAAAGGCTGAAGGGGTTTGAAGAATTCAAGGGTTTAATGGGATGAGGGGATTGATAGGCTGAAGGGCTAAAGGGAATTAAAGTGGTGAGAGTGTCCCTTAACACTGGGGTTGAAATTTTTTTTTAATATCGAGATGTTAATTTTCCCCGAATGAGCACTATCGTCCTGTCAATCATTAATCACCACGGCCGGCGGCTGGACGACGATAGAGTCCACAAACCTGAAACAACACCTCCCATTCTTAATAAAATCATCTTCTAAAACAAAGTATGCTAGTAACAAACAATGAACTTTTTAGTCATAAACTTTGATAAATACAGTCAGTTGGAGAATTAAGTAAACGGTAACGTTACCGGAGCTGCACTAAACTGTCTTGCAATGTTCGTCACCAGTTGAGCAGGGCTCCCCGTTATCTTGCATCGTACAATATATATTTGCTATCCGCGATAATGACGTTGCTTACGTATACGCGCGCGCTAGTTTCGTCCGCAGAGTTTCGGATCTTGTACCGCTTTGCAAGCAGTGTGGGCGGCGAAAATGGTTTTACAAACACACTCTCGTATGTTCCCTTTGCGTGTATTCTACTACAAAGTCCCCAAACCGTGGTATCAGCTACCAGAGGGTGCAGCGGCGACAGGAAAAAATAATATCCAAACAAGCGGTGAAATCAACCCACAGCTATTATTACAGAACCACTCGCAACGATCCTTTTTGTTACAATGGAAAACGAGCTTGATTCACATTTTCTTCAGTTTGCCCACAGTATTCAAAGACACTTTAGAATAAAATGAATAAAAAAATAAACTTTAAGTGCCTATACTTTTTTCAGCTTAAGCCGGAACGCAGCCGATGCTATATTCGGCTCGGACCAACCGAACACCCGGATTATCTCATATGACACCGCCTC